GATCTTGGTTTGTCTTCCAAGCTGTTGGTTCGTCTGTATTTCTGCAGAGTGTATCCAACTGCTGAAGGACTGCATCTGCACTTCCTGGCTATCTGGCGGCAGCTGTACCCTTCCTGGCTGAGAATCTTTATCTTCAGGCGTGTTTCCTGCGTTAGGTTCCTTGTTTTAGCCATTTTTGTGTCTGAAGAACTTTCAAATGTGCTGGCTTTATGTAGACACGAAGCTTGGCAACAAAAATTGTGTCTTTTAATAAAAAGAACGACCTTCATCACTGGTACCAAAATGACCCAATACTCAAAATTTCTTATGTATTTTTATGGAACCAATCAATTTTAAGTTTTTAATGGCTTTTTTAGGATTTATTTAATATTTTGGCTGTGACTGTACTAAAAGAAATTGCACTTGAAGACCTAAGAGTGGTTCTTAATGCAATATTTCACAAATGCATGGGGTGTCCGAAAACTTTTTTCCACCACTGTATTTTTCTTTTTGTCAGCAAAGACCATAAAGAGACCCAAACCAGCAATACTCTAAGTCCATCTCTCCATACTTTTCAGCTTCACTACGCTGTCTGTGATGCTCCCCAAGCCCATTGGCTCCTACTGAAGACGTAAACCTTTAAAAATGCACACAAATACATAGCTTTCATTTCAAAAAGGCTTGGTAATTTCGTAACACAGCTGGAAACCATAGTTCCTGGTTCTTGTTACTCTGACAGAAGTAAATAGTGCATTTTTGGGGACTATTCTCAGCTGCAACGTGCACCTTTGGTCCTGTAATGAGCACTTACAGTTGCAGGATGGTGTATTGTGTGACTGGCTAGAAGTAAACTACAGTGTCATGTTCTCAGGAACGAAGGAACATGTCAGCCAGTGCAATGATGGGACTCACTGATGTGTTGTCAGTGGTTTTAGTTGCTTCGGGACTAAATAATAACACTGGAAACAGTTCAAATGGACAGTAAAGAAGAAAAAAAGGAAAACCAAAAGACAGAAATTCTTTAGCCTTTGATCTTGAGCAAAAATCAACAGCGTCTCGACTTCGAGGAGACTGGACTCTCCCACACTCTGATCATCCAGCAACACTAGATAGTCGCACACAGCAGCCAAGGTCAGCAGTGTATACATGTGCACTTAATTAAACATATATGCATACACATGCTTTCTAAACTCTGCCCAGCTCTTCTCTCTCTCCCACACACACATGTCTGTGTAAATACACATGCTTAAAGGAAAATACAGCATCTGTCCAAGCTGCAGCGTCGAGCCAAACAAAAGACTGAAGCAGCGATGCAGCTTTTCTTTAAAAGCACAAAATAACAAGCGGGGAAGAAATACTGCCGTTCTCTCAGCGTCCCAATCAATGTGTGCACACAGGCTTTTGTTAGCCTTAAATTTACATGTGGTGGTATGCACATCTGTATGTCATGCATGCAAAGTCAGTGGACACGTGCGAGCATGGACTCGGGCAGGTTAGGACAAGGGAGCAATCCAACATCCTGGCTCGGCCCC